AACCCTTTTTTTATTTATATTTCGTTCTACCGTAGTATTTTCTTACTATATTTTATCACAGTAATTAAGTTTTTACTGATTTTGTTATTGTTGCATGTCTTTACGGCTGTGCCTCTGTTATAAAAGAGAAGCAATAAAGTTACTTACTTACTTACTTAGTACGATATATCAAAGAAAATTCCAATTATTACTTTTCTTATTAGGATAAAATGTGTTCCGCATTTCATTCATTACTGGATCTTGTCAATATTCAAATTACTCTATAATACTGATTCACTCATTTTAAAGTGAAAACCGTTAAAGAAATGAATGTATCAAAAAAAGAATACAAAAAAAAAAAATACATATGAGTACTCAGTATACAACAATATGTTGAATATTCAGAAAATGAAAAAGGTTGACAACTGCGGAGGATACATGAGGTCAACTCAGGTCATATGGACTCGTATTACGACGACAATTTGAATCATCATCCTAATCAATAACCCACAGGTTCGTTTCTTGACGATGGCATGAACGACCAATTCTCTCGGTTGCAAAGACAATATGGTATTCCCACACAAGAGCACGTTCAGTTTAACTACTTTCTCGTCAGATAGCCAATACAGCACACCAAGATAATGAAACTAAGTGTGTCGCAAAAAACCTGTGTATACAATGGTGACAACCACAGCTAATTAATCACTGCTGTTAAGTGTTTTGTTACGGCAAAATTTAATCATCACGTTTGTATCTGTGAAAGTATTGGTGACCGTAAAATGGCTCTGATTTACAAGGATAATTATACTGAAGATGAGATCATACTTCAGAATAACTAGAAATTATAAATTATCACAAATGTAAGGTCTGGAAATCAGAAAATAAGAAAACAGAGAATTCTTGAGAAATTAAAAGAAGATTTATTTAAAGATAAAATATATTTAGTTGCCATACTATTGAAACTAAAAAAAAAAAAACAGAAAAAAAATATATATATAATACTAAAATAGTTATAATAAGATCATATTAAATATAATCAAGTTGATAATGGTAATGATGATGGTGATAATGATGGTGATGATGATTGTGATGATGGTATGATAATAATGATGATTGTGATGATGGTATGGTAATGATAATGAGTGTGATGAAAGTGAAAATGATGATTGATGGTGATGATTGACAATAATGACAATATGATATGATATAATTGCATAATTGTGATTTTTCTATACATTCAAATCTTAAAGCCGGGCACGTAATGTACTTGTACAGCGGTCGTCGTCCGACGCGATTCTGTAGAGAACGCTATGCCACCCCTTGCTCACAAGGGATCGTTTATAATGACGATCGGTTCAGACTGCCGCCAACCAACAAGCGGCGTCGCACCGTCTAGCGCTCATTTGTTGGATTCCTTGTACGACGGTCGTAATACAGTCATACAACGCAGCGAGTAACCGGCTTTAAAGAACCGACCTACATTTTTTGAAACACTATATACATTCACACTGCCAGCTGCTTGTGAAGCATTAAGAATCTGTGTTTTACTGTTTTACTGATTACAGATTGTAAAGGGTTAACAAATGGGTGGGATGTTCTCTTTATTGATTTCTAAAAGAGGCTAAATGTCAGGCAGAATATCAATGTGTGTTTCTCCAAAGCATGAAATGTCGGATGAAAGCCATATTAGGGAGATTTCGCAACCTTATGAAAACGATAATGAATATGTCATTATTAATGACATATTCATTATCATTTTCCTATTAGGTTTATCATTTCATGCCTAAAACATAACAATATGCTAAACGAACTGACTATGATCCTTGATTCATGCAAAATACAAATTGCCAAAGTTGTGACAGTTATGCTACTGTAGTGGAAGGGTTTTCATTGGATAGGAATTCTGTTGTGCTCTCTCAATTTTCACACCTCCCCCACCCCCAGGCTAAAACTAGCCTATGCACCCCTGGTTTGTGTCATGTAAGGAGGAATTAAGTGGTCTTTTTCGTACCATATATACAAACACAGTTGATTTAAAAACCATAGGAACACATACTTTCAAGTGTATAACTGCATGCCAGTGAAGAAATAGCACATTGCCTAGTTAACTTGACTTTGAGGGATTTACAACTAGCTATTTTAATTCTCTTTCTCAGCATCAATAAAGAAAACATTTGCGAATACTTACCTGTCGTATCAAATCAGACAGGCCAGGATTCCAAGATGATGGACAGTGAAGGGTATGCACTGTTAAAATGTCACGAATGTCAGCTATACTAGAGTCGGAGTGAATTTTATAAGGCCGCTGCAAAACAAGTAAGAAATGATAACTCATAAAAAAAAATCAAACACTTTTTACAATTGTATTAACTACTGCACTGTACCATTTATTTTACTTCAATTGTTATAAGTGCATTTTTTTAAATATTTATAATAGCTTCTAGGCAGTGGTGTAACACATCCCCCTCCAAAAAAAAGCTTGTACTCCCTTCCCCATTGAAAATTTTCTAAGCAAAAAATTCATGCTTAAATAGTGAGAAATCACCTCCTATCACCACATTTTGCGAGCTAGCAAACCTTCCCCCATCCAACTTAGTCATAAGGCCACCCCACCACTTCAACTTCACACTCCCCACCCCTCCCCCCCCCCCATCACCCACTGCTTCTGGGCATTTTCTTTTTTACTTAGTGTGTGGTCATTTTTCTTTTACCTCTCCTTGTTTTCTCTCAGTAATAAACAGTATTATTTGTTGTATTTTGATGCTATAAAATTGAAAAAAGAAAAAAAAATCAGTGGATCAAAAGTGCCTCCAAAAATTTGCCTACAAGGGGTCAGACTTGTCTGACAGAGGGGTCCAAACCAAGAAGCCAACTAGAGCATCAGTTGGGGTCCTGGAATAAAAAAATCTCTTGCAGGTTTCACAGGGAGAGTTTTTATGGCCTATTAAGGATTGGCAATCAAAATTGTTTAATTTGGATAGGGAAATTATCATTATTTTTAAATTTGTGACCTGACGACCCTGCCATGGCATCGGTCGACAGGGAGTCCAGGCCTGTCTGACGGGGGAAAACGCACACCCATGTCCCCGCTGGCGCCTCTACTCCATGAATATGAAAATATTTTTTAGTCATTCTCATATTAAAGGACAAAACATAATAATATCCATCATTAATCTCATAAACGGCAGAATAATAACTACATTAACCGTTAATTTTATTTTTATTGTTAAAAAAAAAAACAAAAAAAACAACAAAAAGCACCCCCCTCCCATTGAAAATGTTCAAAGCAAAAATGTATCACCTTATTCACTTATCATACTCTCCCACTTCACCTTTGCACCCACCTACCCCCCTCCCCCAGCCACTGCTTCTGGGCATTTTCAGTTGTTTCTGTCTTTTACCTCTATTTGTTTTTATCTCAGTACTAAACAGTATTGTTGATTGTATTTTGATGCAATAAAAATTGAATAAAGGAGAAAACTACAGTGAATGCCTATTAATAAATACATGAATATGAAAATATTTTTCAGTCATTCTCATATATTCCAGGACATAAAAAAAGGGTAATATCCACCATTAATCTCATAAATGGCAGAATAACGTATTACAATTTGTTTTGTTGTCATTAAGTAAATTGGAATTCTCCCTGGGAACAGTACAGTATTTGAACATAATTTGAATGAACTTTATGAATACAATACCTTTTAAAATTCAATATCAAAACAAATATTTCATTGGTGCCACTATTCCACACTATATTATCAAGGGAGTTTTAACTATTTTAGTGTGGTATATGCTCACTAAATGCTTAGTAGAATAATGAATGTTGAGAGCAGCTAGCTCAGTCGGTGGGACTGGTGGTAGCCACTGTGAGTGCGTTGAACCGTGGAGATCTCCAAGTCCCCGGTCATTCATAATTATTGTATACAGTACAGTATACAGTACATTAGCAAAATGAAACAGTATGGTAAATTGTTGGGAACAACTCTATGGAGTGTATACCTCCAACCTGTATGTGCCTGAATACCAAACAATACACAGGCTGTGTATGATGGGCGATTCCATTATTTTCCACCCTGTGTCTGTATACTGAATAACACACAGGTTCTGTATGATGGGTGATTCCATTATCTTTTATGCTTATGGGTAAAAAAAAAAATCAAATTTCCATGACTTTGACCTTGTCCAAATTTGACCTTTTGTTCCTAAAATTTAATCATCACTTTCATAGATTATTATGTACCATTCCACTAGATTTTATGATGATCCCGTCCTTAGATTTTGCGCAAACATGCTAACAGACAGACAGCAGAGAGACAGCCCGACAGACAGAGGGACAGATATGAATAAATAAAATCCTTGGTGCGGCAAATATAAGGTGACGTCTTTACACATTATGAATACAGCATTAGCCATTAAGAAACTACATGAAAATCAAAGACATGACACACATCATCTCACTTGACATGGTACATCAGGAATGTGATTATGGAAGGTTAAAATCAATCATGTATTGCCATTAATATTTATAGGAATAATCAAATTCAAGACATCTTGGCAATAATTGAGATCACGCGATTTAAACATTAGCCGACTGCGATAAATCTGCTTTGTTCAACATTGAATAAAATATTTATACAACCTTGGCCATGATGAGAGTATAAACGACAAAAAATTTTTTCATCGTTAATAAACAAATTATGTAAAATACTGGCTCAATAAGTTATAATAGATAAGGTATTCATTATTTATTCATAGGTCAACGAGGAGTAGTCGTATGGGATATTTCTTTAAAAAATAATTTTCTCGTCAATTAATAAATGCATTAATAAACAATTATTCCTTTCATATATTCTTTGTGGCATATAGACCTTTAAATTGTTCATCTTGTATTTGAGCTGAGCGGTTGGCTGTGGTGCTGTTCCTAGCTGTTTCCTGCACTGAAGACCCTAGTTCAAACTCGGCCAGCGCCCGGTTTTAATTGAAGTCTGATCGCTTGGCTCCTCGAATAACCCTCATATTGGCACTTAGGCTTAAAGGACAATGTTTCTACCCGTATGTGTCCGTTATGTTGCAGTTATGTTGGGTATAGCGCTGGGGCCCAGCTCAAAATCACGATTTCCAACTAGAATGAGGCTTCCAATAAAGAATCGTTTTATTTTTACCAACAAATTATTAATATGGCATCTAAAATCTTTCTGGGTTAGCATATATTTCTAGGAGCAGTGCTTAAGCTCTTGGTCCTAGGGACAATATGACGGATGTCCACATAAAAAAATGCATTAAAGAACTCTGTGTGTTGGCGGTGGCGCTACACAGCACATTCTACGGATCCCGAGAGGCCTAGTCCTAATCTACTCCTAGTTACTCAACTGCAACCAATTTAATTATTTAACCTAATTTACTTAATTTCTTTACTCATTATGAGATGTGAGTGAACTTCTGGTTAGATGCAAAAGTAATTAAAAAATTATCAACTTAATATGCCTGAATACACAAATAGAAATTTCGTAGTTTGAAAACAACTGCAACCTCAGGATATGATCCTTGTCACCTCAATGTTTTTTTTCACTTCTATGTTACGGAAGGTCACCTCTTTTTTCATATATCACTAACATACAACTGTATTCATAATATGCGTTGACGGTTATATACTGTACAAAACGCCTTAAATTACCTTCACACTACTGAAACAAGTATGACAATATTCTAAGCCTTCGCTCTAATCGACTTCTATAAGTTACAGCTAACACTGACAACGGCAATAACAGGCATCCCCTTACAACAAGTAGGACTTAATGTGTTAGAATTTATGTGCACATTATCATAATGTGCTTTAAGTGTATTAATGATCCTCAAGAGGAAGATCAGTGTTCACATTCTACTATGAGCTAAGTAGCATTCGGTGTATTTGTGTCATTTGTTGGATATGTATGGTGTGTAAAATGTAAGCCAATTTCAACGTTAGACGTACCTTTCCCCGAAGAAGCTCGTAAACGCAGATGCCTAACGACCACCAGTCGACAGCAAAACTATATCCCTGCACAGCATTTCCAGTGTTGAAGATTTCTGGAGCTATAAAGAAAATTGTAAATCAATAGTTATAGATGATTTGATAATCAATGTAATATAATAGTAGCAATAGTAATAATAATAATACTTACAATAGTAAATAATAACAATTAGCAACATACTATAACAATAACAACAATAATAATAATTGTAATCAATAAGAACAATATGAAATATATATAATAAATTTTAATAATATTAATAAAACCAATAACAATATAATTAATATTAATATAAACAAATAATATCAATAGTAATTTTAAATAATAGAAATAATAGCAGTTTCACAATATAAATAATATTAATTAAAAATATAATATTAATAATGAAATATTAATATTATTAATTGTAATATTAATAGTAAGAATAATATTAATAATAGAAATAATAGCTGTTTCACAATATAAGTAATAATCTTAATAATATTAAGATCGATAACAATATAATATTAATTTAAAAAATGTCAATAATAATATTAATAATGAAATATTAATATTATTAATAGTAAAATAGTAATAATAATAATATAAATAATATCATTTTTATTATAATAATATTGTGATCAAATTATTTCACTTTAACATACATATTCATTTTATCATTGCAGAAATTAGAATAATAATAATAATAATATAATCAATAGTCATATTATAAATAACAACTATAATATTATTAACAATAACAATATGATCACGTTCCATCAGTTCAATGCATTCATGTGCATATAATTTTGCAAATTTGCTGTTATCTGGAAAACTAAAAGTTTTAACATTTGTGCAAGTTGTTAAATATAAATGGTTTTACTCTGATGAATAATGTATGCAATAAAATTAAAGGCGATGAATACGTGGTTACATTAAGTTGATTAAGTTTATTCCTCATGAGTATTGTGGTGCCGGATAGGATAACAAAATGTGTCAGAGCTAAGTGTACCAAATATTCTTGTGTTTAGACGAGGCTTAAAATAGCAATTAGGATCGAAAAACAGGTGGTTGTCTTACACGCAACATATACATTTTTCATTTTTTCAATCATGTTCGTCTTGTATGCAGATCGTCTGTAACACACAAATTTACTACTGAAATGAAGGTACATTGTTAGTATGAATGAACGCAATTTTAATCACGGGAAAATAATATTTTTACAATGAAACGGGGGGGGGGGTCGTCTTATACGCCCCACTCACAAAAATCGTCCAGAAACATTCTCTAACTCAGGGTGAATGAGAAGGATGAAAGAAGAATAGCTTAAAGAATACATTTGGACGTATAGGGAGAGAACAATTGGGGGAAAATATTTGAATTGGTTATTAAAAAATAATATAGGCCTTACACACAAAATACATTTTGGAATTTGTTAAACTTATTTTGTTACAGGGAATAGTTACATAAACTGATATACTAAATACTCAAACTCTGTTTGTTATCATCATATACGAGGATTGTCATCCCAAAACCAGTGTAGTGCCGTTGAATGTTAAACCGAGTAATCAGCATATAGAATGCGGCAGTATTGTATACGTTAGTACAGAGGGAGCCACAATATTATTTTTACTCATAACTTGGGAAATAGCAAGACAATGACTTTAAACCTTACAATGTGGGAAATATGAATATATTAAAATGTTCTTGTTTTGGTCACTGATTTTGGCATGTCAAGCCCATATAGTCAATTAACATAAAATACATTTTTTTAATTTGTTAAAATGATGTTGTTACAGAGAATAGTTAGAGAAAACGATATACTTTATAATCAGTAAACTCTATTTGTTATTATACATGTAGAAATACATACAATGAAACTTGCATCAGTTCCTACTGTATATACAGTATTTGGTTTCTATAAATACATTTTGTTATTACACAATGTAAGGTACACAGTTACATGATATATGATACTGTGTTAAAAGACAGAAATTCTGTGTTCAGTGCAAGTTTAAAACACCAGTAAACAGGGAACAAAATAAAAAAATTATATATATTAAGGAATACAAACAATGAATATATTATATATAAATTTCTGTTTATGTTAAACCAGCCAAAAATCAGTGGAAAGTTTACTCTTATACATTGTATTAGAATGTACTATAAACTTTTACATATTCATTTCAACTGCACTATTCCATTTCACCGTGTACTTTGTTCATGTTTTGAACAAAGAAACAATAAGGAAGCCAATAATTAAACATAAACATCATTTCTATATTGTATCAATTTCTTTTGCAAGTATTCCCCCCAGCAATAACTGAACCAAAACATCATGTTGTTAACGTACGGTATGCATCGGTATGAAAAACATTTGGTCATGAATCACATTCAATAAGGCTTAAAATTTAAAACAGTTATTACTATTTACATAGACGAAATACAACACCGCATGATACCCGACATGTATATGCTATACTCACAGAAACATGTTAAAACAGAATGTGGCATGTCTCAAATTACTCAATATACGGGCGGGTGCTATTTAAGATGAAAGACAAGAAAAAAACAAGCTACATTTCCTAATATTTATCAAGATGACCTACTTTGAATGGAATATATAAACGATTATTCATCTCAGGTTTTGCATTAGACAAATTGCATTATATATATTGCATCAAATGCAAATCTCAGATGATAAGTTTGCGAGGATCGGTAAAGCTACCTGGTGATATCAATTGACAAACTGCACATAATGCTAGATACAGCAATGGTATATACATCATAATAAATATTACTACACACTAAGGGGCCATCCATAATTTTCATCATTTTCAAAAGACTACAAAACGTACGCCTTAGTGGTAGGAGAAAGGGTTGAAGGTTCAGGCATGAGGCTTGTCATGCCTAAACCAGCATACTGTCCCTAATTGGTAAACTGAGCAATTAGCATAAGAATGTGGCAATTATATAATTGTATACAGAGAAGCCATAATACTATTTATTATAACTTTGGAAATATAAGTCCACTCTAGTACATGACCCATCATTTTAAAGGTCACAATGGTGGAGAATATGAATATATTTAAAAGTCAATTTTCATTTTTTGGTTTAATTGATGCTGGTTTGTGATGGCAAAGACTCATATATACTCTTTTATGAAAAAGATAAAATGATGACAGTACACGTATATATTTTAATGCGATTTTACTTGACTATTTTATGCTAATTTAATTTATGTTCTCATTGGCATCGGTGAGCCATTACCGTGATTCAGTTCACTTTTTGGCAATCCTGTTTGGACAACTGAGCGTTATTTTTTTCCTCTTCTGTTATTTTGTGTTTGTCAGTTTTAAAGTTCTTTGGACGGAATAAATGAAGTGATCTCAAAATGAAAAAAAAAAATCATTTTAATGTGTACTTAGAGGCAGGAGGGAGCTGTCACAGAAAAGAGGATGTTTTGTAATTCTTTGAAAATGATGACAATTATTGATGATCCCTAACAAAAAATAACACAATAAATGTGTGCCCTGATTAGTGAGAATCTATAAATACATGACCTTTATTATCAGCTTTAAATTTAGAACAGTTCTGTAGGGTATATGCAAGTATTTAGGGTAAAGAGACAGTACCTGTATAAATCAAAATGTATATAAACTAACATACTGTAATTTGTTCTTTAATATATAGATGAAAGAGTTAAAAATGATAGACCTGAGTTGAAAAAAAAAAGACTATTGTTAACAATAATAATGTATGCTTTTATATAGCTCTCTTATAGAGCAGGAGCCCAGGGGTGTCAGCATAGCTGGAAAGGTAACCAATTTTTGTGTGTAATTTTTGTTTGTAAGTAATGGTCTATGTGCCTGCCTATGTAGGAAAATGGGCATCTGCCGGTCCCATTGTTGTGGGTGTGGTCAGGAGGGGCATAAAAATGGGTACCAAAAATTGAGCTAGATCCACTTGTGAATTAACCCAATGAAACCTATCAGAATATATTCTGGATTATATTATATTCATATAATATATATATTCAAGATATCATGAATGGTCAATTCCAGATATTTCCAATGGTGGGGGTGGGTGCCAGACACAAAAAACCGGTACCGGTATAGTTAATAGGTTTTCTTCCTAGAAAGACAAATCAGCGACACCAATACAAACAGAACATTCCAAGTGTGCCGCTTCGAGAAGGGGGGGGGATCATTCAACTTATCTGCATAAAATTTGCATAAAAGCAATTACTTAAGTTATTCTTAATAAACAATAAATAAGTTAAGGTATGTGTGATTATTTTGATGGCTAATAAAAAGTAGTTCCTTACCCATATAAGGCTTGGTACCAGATATAGATGTTGCAACTTTTTTTTCTTTAAGTATTGTTGCTATGTTGAAATCTGTGATGTGTAAGTGCCCTGAAATCAAGAAGAAATATGTATACAATTAAATGAAAACAGTAAATAGCTGTCCAATATAAAACAGGGTTGAACATTGTGCATGATAGCCTAAATTCATGCAGTGACCCAAAAACTTTGCATGCATCTTGCATTCTTTACGTAAATGTCTATATTAATATGCAATTATCATTTTCATTATGATATCATTTTTATAATTAAAGTATTTTTTGTTCTAATTTTTAATCTATCCAAATTAAATGTTGTGTTTTGCTGTCATGTTTGTGGATTCCAAACTTTTTTCGGCTATTAAAGTTCTTTTTTGTTAATATGCCTGGCTTCCATACTCTAAATAAATATTCAATGTTTTAAACTCATCCATTTTCCTGACTATTTTATTTTCATTAATTATTATTTGTATTGCTATAGAGAAAATACATACAACATAATAATATATTAGTATAATTTACTACTGAAATTTTTATGATGTATGCTGTTTTATTTATTTGTTTTCTTTACTTAATTCTATGAGTTCTAACAGTTTTCAAGTTAATTTATTCGGTTAATTAATTTACATTTTGGTGATCTGCACAGGTGTGCAGTTGTTGGTCTTTGTTCAGACTGCTTTGTCCAGTTTACCAGTATATTTTATTGAGGCCGGATTATTTACTTTGGACTTTATTTGCCTTCATTTGGATTATAAAATGAATAATGGTATTAATGTACCTTACTTCCTTTGCTTGTTCAAGTACTTATGACGAAAGCTATATATTATAGTTTCATTTAATGGAGGATGTTTCATAAAAAAATAATATACTATTATTATTAAATTTCAATTACCATAATAATAATATTATTATTATTATTATTATTATTGTTACCATTATTATTAAGTTTCAATTAAAATAATATTAATATTACTATTATAAAGTTTCAATTAAAATAATATTAATCTTACTAAATTATTATTAATTTTCAATAAAAATAATATTTACATTACTATTATTATTCTTCAAAGAATTTCAGTTAGCTTTGAACTTCATTTTTCATAGATAGGTCTTAGAAAATAGGATATTTATCATCTACCATATTATAATAATTAATCAGTACATCCACCCTTTCCATGTACCCTGTGGTTCTCATAGGGCTCGACAAATCTGATGTATTAGACACTGGAGCTAGAATTTGTAGATCTCAATTTAATTAAATTTGCAAGAGTTATGATAGTTGGGTTTTAAGGCATTCACCCCACTAGGTATATCGTTACACCTTTAATCAGAAAGCCTGTAACTTAAGGAGATGGCAATCACTCGCAAGCCGTGTAATTAAAAATCAAACCATCATAATTAGTTGAACTGAGGCAGTCTACGAAATGACCCCTGGGAATAGTGTAAACTTTGGACATGCACCAATATTGGGTACTTTACGAGATGCCGTATGGTTAATTAATAATTGATTAGGATACACATCAAACCGAAGAGGAATAATCAGGAACAAATTTGTGTGATGTCCCCATAATATAAGCATGATGATGTCATAATACACCCAAATATGGGCATATCAAATTTATTTTTTCACATAAAATTTGATAGTGTAGATAGAGTTTAAGTATGATATCAATACCAGATATTCAACTATATTGAATGACTGATTGAGTATGTATGCCAAGTTCATTGAACCCTAGGATCTATCCACCAGTTGACAACATATCAATATTTATTTATTCTTTATCCTGAAATGCACTTTCAATAAAAATGTACTGATTTCTCAAGTGGTTTTCAGTTAAAAACAAAAGTACTGCCTTTTTTTGTACTTTTATCTTGATGTTTCTGTGTTTTATATTAAATTTTAATTATATATATTCATTTTGTAATTATTGGATGGCATAATGTTATAGTAATTAAGCTTACTTAGAGACCAGACCCTCCCATTTAGCTGTCTTCAATAACATACCCAGCAGGGAAACAGAACTTACTGTATTCTCATTTAACCTGCTCTGAAAAACCAGACTCATAAAACAGATTATCTGATGGCTAGCCACAACCATATATGGTGCCAGCACAACCATATTGAGAATCCAGAAACATATATGACTTTATTTTTTGTATGTTTAATATTTCTATTAATGTTTATGAATCAATTTTTTTATATAATTTTCTCATACCATATATACCAAAAACCTAAAGGTTAAACTACCAAGGTATACGGTAATTACTTAATCAACATGAAACTCCCTAGGCTTAAGAAGTACATTTCGCTGTTGGCATTTGCCTGTGGAGCTCTACCATTAACAGCCTTCCATAATGCATAACTTGAACATGTGAATTTACCAGTTCAGTTTAAGTGGCATTATAGTGCAATTTAATTGAACAGTTTCTCAAATACATTATCGTTCTCAATTTCAATCATTTCAATTTGGTTATGACTGTTGAAACTGCGGCTAATCCTCAGTATTTTTTACCCAATAATGAATTTTAAATGGAGGACTCTCCTTAAGGTAAACAGCCACATAAATTATAGTCAAGAATTCTAGCCTGATAGCCCAACATAAATTATTTTGCATGATATTATGATGTACAAATGCTGATACACATTGCAAGTAATGAAGACGTACTGTCTGTTGCTAAGTATCCTCCCTTTACATATATTGGCAATAAAAGATATTTTTATTTTATTTTATTTTATTCAACTTTCACTGGATTAAAAAAACACCAGAAATGTAAGTAGAGAACAGCTGAAGAAGCACATCTACAAAGCCATCTTACCACCGGAGATAGATAACATTAACAAGTAAATATAATTTATATTAAAAATAGAGATTTGTCTAATTTGCAAATAATATAAATCTAAATACAGGTCTCCCTCTATTTAAAGGCCACCTCCAATTAAAGACCACTTTTTTGTGATCCCAAATTAACAAATGTCTTTTATCTTTATTATTCTAACTAGAGACAAGCTGTTAAAAAAAACCCTAGAAACCTTTTTCCCAAAGGCGGTCTTTTATTGGATGGAGACCTGTAGAAAATGTTCATCATTTAACGACAGGCAGGGCAGTGAAAAAAGAAACTCATGTGCAAGCATTATCAAGAAGAAAATTTGATTTCAATTTTAAAAACTTAATTTTTAAGTTTATAATATAAATTCAATTGTCATATCTTGTGATAGTGATATTATAATATATATAAATGTCTTTAAAAGGTAGAAGCATGTAAATACATAAAATATTATTTGAAATGTTAACTCACCTTCCTCATCTAATAACATATTGTCTGGTTTGATGTCTCTACATTAAATAATAAATGAAATGTATTGAATTAGATACATGAATTGTGAAGACTGAGAGAATTATAAAAACCATGGAAAATGATAAATTTGATTGTCCATTGCAACAAGGTAAATTAGTTGTATTCTTTCTAGTCTAATAAAACATTGATTGCTAAACAGAAAAAAGGAATAGAGAGTAATAAAAGTATGAGACACCATAAAACCATGATTCATAAGAAATTTCAAATGATAGAATGGTTAAAAAAAAAAATCACAGCACTGAAGTTAGCAGTGATTTGAACCAATACTTTTCGGACTGTAAGTTGGGCACTTTAACCACCAAACCATAATACTCATTTGCATACCCACCTGTGAACTATTTTCTTTTCTTGCAAGTAATCTAATGCTAATGAAATTTCACAGATATACAATCGTATTCGCTCTGAATCAAACTTAACGCCCTCGTTCAAATGATAGCGGAGATCACCCCCGAGTAAGAGGTCGACGACCATGAACATGTCCTCTTCATCTTGGAATGTGTACCACAGGTTGACAAGGAAGGGGTGTTCAAGTGACTGTAGGATCTCCTGTTCTCGGAGAACGTTCCTAACAGCATCTTTTCGGATGCACATTAGCTTGTTCATGTATTTCATAGCAAACATCTGCTTTGTATCTCTCTTCTGTACAATACATACCTAAAATTGTAACATACAAATACATCAGAAACATAGTTAAATAAAAAATAGATAAGCCGTACTAGTCTAATATATAATAGAAAATAAAACTCAGGATATTCAGTACTTTTATGACTAGTTATTTATGACAGTACACAAGCTTTCGTGCACACAGTGCACTTATTCAGGTGAATGTGCACCTGAAGAAGTGCACTGTGTGCACGAAAGCTTGTGTACTGTCATAAATAAACTAGTCATAAAAGTACTGAATATCTTGAGTTTTATTTTCTATCAGAAACATAGTTCCATTCTTAGAAATCTAAATTGTATTTGTAATCTAGTGGTAAACTGATCCAGATGAGGCAGGGAGATTTTCCCTCCTAGGGGACATTCTACCCCCAGGTCTAGATGTAATTGTCAATTTTTACAAATATTAGTTAGTTTAGAACATAATACAGTATAAATAATAATCGTTAATTATTAAGATGCATACATTTCTATTAATAATTACAAGATACAAGATAAAATTTATTGTCTCCAATATAAACAAAGAAATCACAAAGCTTGCAAAACAACTAATCAGTGATAAATATAGCACGAATGTCACTGCAAAGATTGACAAGGCCGTTTTATTCTACATTTCATTTTTATTAAAGCATCATTAGTAACCGTGACAGTATAATCAAGAATAATCAAGAATGCTATTAGGGAATTGAACAAGTCACTAGTTTGAATTTTCATATTTTATGTTTGTTTTCGTTAGGGAACCAGATCAAATTTCTTTGCATGGTTATTGTACATGTACTGTATATATGACAAATAAATCCATTGAGGTGAGTTGAGTTTATTAAAATTTATACATTAAATAAGTATAATAATACTGCTTTTATCACAGTCACCATCGGAAATTTTAATATCCCAAAATTAGCCAACAACCATAACAATAACCAATAACTTATGATCAAAATTAATTATTGTGAGCCTTATCAACTAATATTAATACCAAAATTGGCAATTTCATTAACACATTATCATCGCACAATAATAATGAAGATTGACTGTTACAATTAACCACTTTATTGAGTAGCCTATTAAATTTTATTCATTACAAAAATGCCAACCATAATGACACAACATTACTTCCTCAGCAATATGAATATAAAATCACTTTATAAATGACTGTTTGAATCAAAAATAGATATACAAGATGATATTTTTAACCTCGGATTATATAGGATTTGTGACAAAATTTTATTTGAAATTAAAATAAAAAGGATAATTTCCGACGAAAACTTGTTTGAGAAGGCGGAAGAGAAATGAAGTTGATTTATTAAAAAAAGGAGGCTTCTTGTGGTGTAGTCTGTGCATATGCAATATCTGTTTAAATATCCAATATTATAGTTGTATTAATATTTTTTGTACAGTATTTTCAATGTTTATTATATAATAATATCTTTTTAAAATTTCCAATTTAATAATTTATTTGTACAGTATTTTAATGTTTTTATATAATGTATTTAAGGCATCCTGTAATTGGTTTTTCACTGTTGGTGTTGATGTTTGAAATAAAATAAAAATAAAATAAATTAAATAAAAATTATCACAGGTAAAAATATAGAAACATGGTGGTGGTATTCTTTTCATGATTTTTTAAATTATTATCAATATTTTAGTGTGGGCCTACATTTTTCTTCATTAAAATATTAATACAGTAAGTTTGAAATTCAATTTTATATTTTTATACTTTGGGATGATATTAATTGCAATAAAAAATTTTATTTGTTATTGTAACAAGAAACCGAGTCTCGCACTTTTATGTGACAATAACGTATACCTATGTCTATCTTGAAGTTTTAATAACAACAATGAAATATGTTTGTCATTAAATGTAAATTATGTGAAAACAGAACCCAGTAAAATTGTAGGCCTACTAATTCAAAATATTTTATTACAAATGATCTCCCTTGTTATCACTTAAGCTTGCAAACTATAAAAGCATTTCAACCATTCACTCTGTTTTCAATGGATTCCTCAACTACATATTAATGTATGGTATCTGTAAATGTATCTAACGTTGATATGAGCCTTTGATATAGAGATGAAATTCTAGCCTTCTGCACTTTATCATTTCTAATCCCAATGTGTAGGACCAATCCCAGGCTAGCTATTTTTCTTCCTAATGATACAATAACAAACCAAGCAATCAGCATTGGTAGATATAAAGACATCATTAAATATCGTTTTGAGGAGAAACAACTCAATTTATGATTCTAAATGCTTGGTAAATAATTATCCACATTTTTTTTTTCTACAAATAAACAAAAAAACTTGACTTACTTTACCAAAACTGCCTTTTCCAATTGCTCTCAAGATCTGAAAATGATCAAAATTGACTGGGGGAAAAACATAGATAAATATGAATAACATACAACAAATGTTTTTGTTAAAAAAAAGTTAATTGGGGGAACCCACAGGGAGACTTGAAAAATAAATAATTTAAAGGAGAATAAGAAATGGGCCGAAAAACAAAAAACACGGTTAGGAATGCGTTCTAAAAACATGTGTTTTAACATGCATTTGTTATATGGTTGGCATTCAGAAAACACATGTTTTTTGGTACACATTTCAGCTGCGACGCAATACCGTGTTAGTCATGACGCGTCGGTGAACCAAACTGACCTCTTCTTTGGTTTGACTGCTCGTCCGTGAGAAATTTGGTAAAGAAAAAAAATAAACCGACAGGATGATATGGCACGAGGCTTTACCAAAATTTTTTTCATACTTTCGTGGTGTGCTGTTTACTTCTTTCGCAGCATACGCTGTAACTCGCAGGAAGTAATGTCAAATTCAACTTCCGTTGGTGATCATCATTATAAGCTCTGCCCACCTGCTAATGCTCGCATTACCATGTTTTTATTAGTTGTATTTTTCAATAGAAACATGTTGGGAATTTAACTGTTTAAAAAAACACGTTTTTTGGTTATTCAGCAGAAACACACCCACATAACTATGTCTAATGTTAATAACACTGTAATACAGTATTAACAATAATAACAATCATGTAATTGATTTTACAAACTCAGATTTTATTTGTTGTAATGTAATAGAGCATTGCAAAACAAATAATTTAAAAAAAGATACCCTCATAATGTCAATAGCTTTTTCATATCATATAAAAATATAATTATTAAATAATACTGTTATAATAATAAAAATAATAATAACCAAGTGAGGTAGCTTCAACTTTGAACTCCATATGGAACTCCATATTAATCTTCAGATAGTTTGTTACTACATTAAACTCTTTTAAGACCAAGCAAATACCTTCCTTTACCATCAAGTTTTTCATTAATTTAAACATCCTTATTCTGTTTTTCATGTACTGCGCATTGAGAGCTTGCTATACGCTATATAAGTTATATTATTATTATTATTATTAATGGTTTTTGATACACCATATTATAACACATAAAATCCAAGTTAATTTTTGTTGTAATGTAATGATGTTACTTACAAAAGATGACAAAAATCTAACCATTTCTAAACCTATAAAATTCCTCTTGCATATACATGATATTGTTAAATACTGTAATATTCAATATAGATATAGTACTAATATCTAATATGTTTAAAACCATTTTAGATATTAATTTCATTAGTCATATTAACATAAAATTATTAGTGTAAGTTTATTACTCACCGTCTCCAGATGAATCAAAGGTTTCTTTCCGGTTGGAATGATTTGCTCCCATTTTTGAGCCTGCTCGGTAATGGAGTGAGGCTTGTGAATAAAACCTGTTTTGTATGAAACATAATGCGTTATCACATGACAACAGCTGCTGAGAACAGACATTATCTTTACAGGTTTATCATGAACAATAGTTCTGATCAATGTTCAGGTTTTAGTTGTGTTAAGAAAAAAAATGTATCACTACCACCCAGTGGCATATCTGTGGGGGGGGGATCCCCCCCCCCATTTCAAATGTTTCGAAGCAAATCTTCATCAACATCATATTTATCATCTACTTCATCATTTTTATCAATTACTATCATCAATGCCATAACCAGCTATTGGGACAGTTGGGACAGTCCCACACAATTTTTCTAATGGGTCCAAATTATGCAATATTTCTTAAATTTAGCCTAAAATGGGTAAACTTTTAAGAAAATGGGTCCAGATTTTTTTTTATATTTTTGCATAAAATGGGTCAAATTTTGAGAAAATTTGTCCACATTATCTGAATTTACACGTAAAGTGAGTGCACCACCCGCACTGTTTGAAAATCCTGGCTACGGCATTGACTATCATCACTTTTTAAGATCATCATTATCTATATCATTGCCATCTTTTATCATCGCTATCATCATCCTTGTCATCATCTGCATCCTCAAAATCATCATCTTATTCTCACCATCATCATTTTTATCTTCTCCATCATCATCTTTATCATTGTCATCATACTCATCAAAGTCGTAGTCATCATCATCATCAGCATAGAACACAAATACAAATCTTATATAACCCAGAGAAATGACGTCCAAGAGAATACTTAACAAGATGCTTTTTAACTCGCATAAGTATCCTTCGATGACTTAAGTGATGTATCCCTTGACCACTTAAACCAAAATTGGCTGAAATACCATTACCATCATAAATATCTATCTCTAATTGGTTTATGCATTGTTGGCCATTACATTTCTCTAGGTGCCACAAATTACACCGCACCAATCTACTTTAATTTGATTTGTAATTGTGATATTTATAGCCAAATAAAATTCCACAATTTAGAATTAGGAAAATCTTCAAACAAAGCTCACTCTACATTATAAAATTTTATTTGACAAAAAATACCAGTGATTTGCCGATATACGGTATGATATGACATCATCATGCCATATATGGATGTAATGATGACATTGACATGCCCATTTAAGGATAATTCACACAATTTTGTCATAAAACTTGATAGATGTTGTACAAAGCTTCATAAAAATACGTATTAGTACCGTATATGTATGTAGCATATCTGCATGTTCTCAAATAATTTGCTTATACTTGATTTTAATATGAATGTTGTTAAAATATAAATCACAATGCTTCCAATAATTATAATCTATGGCTCTGTTTAAATGCTGAGGCACGGAGTTCTAATTTTCTTGAAAAAAAAAAAACTTGTCTAAAGCATTGGAATTGTTTTCTACATTATCTAAACTGCTGAATTGTTATAACATATTACAAAACCACTAATAAAAATAACAAAATAATTGTTTATTTGAAAATTAATGAAGATACTAGCATGGACCTATCAATAAGATCTTATTAATAGGTCCATGATACTAGTAAGAGTCAAAATGTGGTTCTTTATTATTATTTATGATACTTAACAGTACAATACAATGCAACAATTTCTGTGTACTGGCAAATTACTAATCTAAATACTTAAATTAGTGTATCAGGTAACCAAATTTTACAGTTACTTACTTCAACTACGCCTGTTAACTGCTCAGCAAACTACAGAAAAAACTGTGTACCATAAATAGAATGCGGAAAGGGCATATTATAAGATAAGCAAGTCATATTTATCATTATCTTGATTACTTATTGTAATTATCTTAATTACTCACTGCAATTATCTTAATTACTTTCTGTAATTATCCTAATTAACATATACAGTATATGAAAGAGAAATTCCAACTTACCGAGTGTGCTCTTGATTTGATTAGAATGAAAAACTTGTGTATTACTTTAATCAGCAACACAGCATTTGGCAAAAACAGAGTCTTAAAAGTTGAGTACACAAACTTGAAGATTGAAAACCGAGTGGGAGTCAGTAAGTCTAATCAGCTTACACTTGCTTCAACCTTTTATTAAGCTCAAACAATCTGTAATATTTTCTATCATCTTCTGAACCTTCAGAGTTTTTTCCACCAGCTGGATTATGTGACTTCCGTACGAAAATCGCACCTGCTGTGAAGAAATATAGTTGTTTGGATAGAGCAGAGCAGTCGATACCTGCAAGCAAAAAAATGATCAATAAAAACGTTGTTTAGTCACAACTTCTCTTGTAGATATTTACTTCTGTTTTCCATTATAGAATGTTTTATAGCACTTCTTATAAAAATCATTATAATTATTATACTAATTGACAATTCTAAAGGCTGACGCCTAATGTAAATATTTACATTCCCATAATTTACCGAGGCTTGTATACCAGTAAGTACAATACATAGGAAACTATAGTGTCATTCAACGGTTTGTGTATCAACCACCATATTGTTTTTGTATTTAAAATTGATGTTCATCCTGTTGGTACAATTACCTATAGAAGTCGTGCAGGGTGTTTTTTTTTACAATCAAAATGACTTCACACCAGCATGCTTCCCACCTTATAACACGATTTTTATTGACATGCAAAGTGTTCAGATCTGCTTATTTTATCACCCTCATAAAATATAATGTATAACATTATCAGCTCAGTCTGCTAAATCACCTGTTATTATGATAAGTACGTACATAAAATCAAAAAAGTACAAAACATAATAAGCCCACACCCCCTTGAACCACAAAAATTGGGCCAATTCTGGAGTGTAGGCTTACTGTATACTTGGAAAATCCCCTTTTCAATCGAAAGGCAATATTTCGGCATCCTTGCAATGCCTAATTTAAAGCAATGTTTAATTATTCTTTTTTTTAGGGTATTTTTTAAACCCAGCTAGGCTACTTATTCAAATCATACCCTATGGGCCTTTGCCCAAGGAAAGGTTGGTATGTAAAACTGGGCATTAAGTAGGGGGTGGCATATATACCCGAGCAACTATGGTATAATAATTTTTTCACATCCAGGAGTAATTGTGCACTCACCACTTAAGTATGGAAAGATGTCTCTTAATTAATTAGGCTTTATAGGAAGTGGAACGGTATTTTAGAAATAAGGCAAAACCCTACAGATGACACTCCATCTTTGTCAAGTGAAAACTGCTAGATAATTACCTTTCACTTGGTTAATAACATTTTTTTACTTAAAGCTTATGGTATATTTATGTACTGAAACAATGTAGGCGAACCTCATGACATGTTTTTGGCAATGGGAGATTTCGATTGAGAGCGTAAAACGAGAACATGGAATGAAATCACTGAACCATGACTTTCGTTGCATGCATTCATATTCTACTGTAAATAATTTTTTATTTTTTATGACATGTATAAGGCATAGTCACGAACGCACAGAGCGATGCACCAATGTTACAGTCCTCGTTCTGGCCTGAATGTAGATTCGGCCGAAGACCAGATTTCAGAAGAGAACATAATGCACAACGTTTAGATATATGCAGTTAAACAAACATGACGTCATTACGTTCCACATTGCTGCAAATTGAAGGCTCCAAATAAAGAATATCTATATTTGTATTTGACATGTATTTTTCTTTATTCATTTTATTGCATCTCATCAAAAACATCACAAAACAGAAAAATCAAACACAATTGAAAACAGATGCAAAAGAACAGGATCCACATACTCATAGTCCACACACACTAAAGGCCGATTCGGACAAGTAAAATTTAACTGGGTACCACCAGCTGAGCGGTCGCGTGCGGCAATTAAATAATGCCCCTGGGTATAGAAAATTTGAAAAGCATCTGGCCCAAAAACCCACCTTTTTTACTGGATATTTCAATTACACCTTGCCTCAAGGCGTAATTAATCACTCGTTACAAGGCCCAGGTCACTAGTTGACCCTTCAGATTTGTAAACAACGCCGGATCAGAGTGCACTGGACAAAAAGAAGCTCGCGACCACGCAGGGGGTCGTCACTCAGGCCACGAACTATTCAGAATTCTGACCTTGCAGAAGCTTGTAAAATACATAACTTCCGTCAAATTAATGGGTAAATGGATTGTTATTTTACTCGTCCGAACGACCGTCGCATTTAGCCCCGAGGTTATTAGTAGATTACCCATGTAATTGAGTTTACGTCCGAATCCAACCTAAGAGAAATGCCCTGGATGAAAAACATCAAATATCATCAAAAATACACATAAATTCTTGATATTAATACTACAAAATTTTTTAAATTCTTGACATACAGATAATTACCAGTATGGATTCTAAGACTACCTCAGACCCTATTTTCAATCATTTAAAATAAGAATTTAAACTGTAACTGTAGAATTATATTCCTGATTGTCAATTCTCAAATACAATTAGTAGAGAATTTTACACTAATAATATTAGTGACAACGAGAATAATGATAAATATGAATTATAGGACAGAGAAACCTATACTTCAAAGCTGAAGTTTCAGAATTTGATTTATGTGAAACAATATTCAGCAATTAAGCCATTTATGAGTTTCAGAAACTCTGTACAGTATATCGCATCTCACTCCAAAATATGTTCCAAGATGTGGAATATTCATCAATTAAAATGATATAATTGAGGTTATATGAATGGTATCAAGTTTTATACCTCTATGATCGGTCATAATTAGTATGAAATTGAGAAACCGGTGTTGCATGCCACTTAATGCAAAAATAGGATGGTGACATAAGCAATTAAATCAAATGCTAAGTTATATCAACACTGAAATCTGTGGTACAAGATACTGATGATCTGATCGGTGCACATTGAAAATGTCCAAAGCCAAAAAAATCACGATCAAGTAGTTAGATCCTTCCTTTACGACCAGCACCCCATCCCTTAATCATCAAGCTCCCACCTTCGTGACCCCATTAGCTCCCCGGTTTCAAGTCTCCTAGATACGCCACTGCAGACACTATCATAGAAATTCTCTGTTTATAATGACGTTACGTTTTCAGAGATTATTTAAGGGCCGAGGACATTATGTTTACAAAGATATTATTTACGAGAGCATTATGTTTTACGTGGACATTTGTTCCTGGACATTGTGTTTACAGTGAACATTCTCAACATGGGATATAATTCTTATTGCCAATTACCAGGCACATAAATAATACTTCTCCTTGTATACACCCTTAAATTGGTTGGTAAAAGAATTTTCAAATTCAGAAGATTGTAAGGCAAGATATTTTTTATACATTGTTTAGCAAACCCGCCGCCCGCCAATAATGATGTTTTCGAATAAAAGTAAAATTTTATTTTTGGCCAATTAGTGAATCCCAGCGCAATGAAAAAATGAAAATTGCAGAAAAAATTTTTTTTTTAAATTTTTATTAAAAATCTTTGAAATCTCCAAAAATAAGATGTATATTTCTATAAGCATTTAACCATTACATTACTACAATGTTTACATTCACCAATGACATTTTATTTTTATTTTCTTATATTAGACAGTTTAAATAAACAAGCAGCTATTAAACTTGTTGCCACAAAATAATTATTTTATTCCTTATACTTGTAAGTTCATATCAAATATTATATATTAATTTAATATTTATTATTATAATCAAGACAATTATTTACATTATATCTGATTCAAAATGTGGCTTTATGGGGTATTCCCAGTTCTGTGTAAACCAAAGCTGTTTCTTGATAGGTTTCAATCAGGGAAACCATTTTTTTGTCAACACAACGGTGAACTGACTCAACAATCACCTGTAATTCGAGAGCACTAAGAAGAAGAGGTTAGAGGGCAAATCATTAATTAGCTGCACTTGCACTAATGATATAATTGCAAAGTTTTATATCCTCCATGGTATAACACATAGACTAAAACCTTTAAAAAAAGGTCCTTGATTTGTGAATAAAAATGAATAAGAACTAACCATGCATATCGATACATGTTTTCTGGTACATTAGTTAAATCCAATAAAATTGTATTTCTAAGCATCCAAAAGGTAAAAAGTTCATGCCAATTTCCCCAAGTACAAATGACTATAATCAAAATTATTTGGTTTTACAAGGCTCTACTTATTGCGATAATAAAAACAATCAGAGGTAGCTGAGATTAAAATTCTTTGAGTGTCAAATGTTAGGAGAAGAAAAGAAATGCAAGGCATTGAAAACAACGGAGTCTATGAAGGATGCCTTAAAAGGATTATTCTTTTGCTTATTATATAGGCTAGAAGTAAAGCTCATTGCCGGCTTTAATCTGGTTTACTATGGAATCTGCAAGATGGTGGACGGCGGTTTAATTACTTCTTAAATTGTAGTCAAACTCTATCTATCAAATATGTTTATTCGGCAGTCTATTACCTGTCCTATCAGTTAACTGTATGTGTAAAGCCAGGTTATTCTCCGCGTTTAAACAGTTGTCGGCTGACGCAATTCAATGGGAAATGCAACACCACAATGCGCACGTAACAGATCAAATTTAATGACAATCCGTTCAGATTGCCAACGCATTCGGCGACGCATTGCCTAGCACTCGCAGGAAGCAGAGTTGGATTTTGTACAACGGTCGTAGGACCGTGAGTGCCGAGCTTTAGTGACCTTTTATTAACCTTTTGCTTTGGTTCTGTCAATCTTTCAGCCCTCCAGTCTATCAAATTTTATTTAACAAAAACTTGTGACATACCTAAAAATATATGGTCATGATGACATCACATCATGACCATATATAGGCACTTCATGACTATATAATGGGCATACAACAATTTTTTTCCAAAGAAAATTTGATAATCTGGACAGTGCTTCAATTACAGACTGGACCGATGCAAAAGGTGCTAAATATACGGTTGTCAATATTTTTAAAAAAAATGTTCTTTACATTATTTTATGTTAATTTTTGTAATGAAGCATTGTTCATTCAGACAGCAATTATGAATTTGTACAATTTTATGCTGATTATATTATGCAAAGTGCTTCACTATAAAAGGGATTTAATGCATCCCGAGAGAAATCTTATTGAGATGTGTGGATAGAAATGTGGAAATTAGCAACAATACCAAAATAGTACGAGGATTGTGAAATGGTAGATAGTCGTGTCTGCTGATAATATACTTGATACTGGAGATTACATTTCATAATAATGCTTAGCATAATGTTCAAGTTGGTACATTAACAATGGAACAAAAGAGAGAGCTTGGGTTCAATACCTAGTGAAGAGAAAAAGTATTTTTTTAAATAATTTTAATATATTTAATATTCATCCATGAATTGATCCATTCTTCCTTCCTTCTCTCCCTAATTTCTTCAATTATTCATTCTTTCATTTCTTTTATTTTTTTTATTTCTTCTTTTTTCCTTCTCTCTTTCCCTCCTTCCCTCTCTTCTATTTTCCTTTTTCTTCCATCTGTCTGCTCATTCATACATTCACCTATTCCCCTCCCCCCGCCTCCCTCCCTTTTCCTCGATATGCCACACATCGAGGGAGGTGTTCAATAATATTGTAGTCCTATGTTATGATACTGACGTTGGGGGCAGGAGAGAGTGCTCATGTGATGATCACGAGGAAAAGAATAAATCTCTGGTTTCGTTAAGTTATATTGTTTTATTGTCATTATTCCAAGTACTCAACACCATATTTAGCACCGATGCTCAGTTGTGTGTGTTACTATTACTGCAAAAACAATTTCGCAATTTACTACGAGTCGTTACAATGAAAAGTACACATATCGAGCCACCCGTGCACTTTTGTCCACGCCTGAAAATCTAGTTTTTATTGAGTTATATTGTTGTATATTATTGTCGTTATTCCGAGTACTCAACAACATTGAAAAGACAAAATTGTTTTTATGAGCTTGATGTTGTGAATGGAAGCAAAGATGTCATAGCATTTGCAATGTACAGAATAGTACATACGGTACAGTTGAGAGTATCATTGTATATTTTGTATCTTCAAGGTGAAACAGGTCTAAAATATTAATAATAATGAAAATATTGCCACGATATTGCAATTACTAGCCCTGAACTACAATATCTTTCCCATGAACAACTGAATATCACAATAATATTTCGGTAATATCTTTTTAGAACACAAGTTCAGACAATCCATTAGAAATTTACAGTAATTTAATTGGACTTTATGAAAAGAGTATCACCTTTATACTCAAGGTTAAACTTGATTCAGTCAATAAAATTTGATATTTGAATTACTTAACTAAGTTATTGGATTTCAATAGAATATTACAACCAAAACTATTTTATTCACCAAAACAAACCCATAAATAATATTGTTCCTACATTCTTGACAAGTGTTGTATTGGAAAATTATAAAGGGAGACTATTTTTATACCTTGTTTCGCAAACTTTTTTTTTTAAAAAGATTGTCAGAGGAGGGAGGAAACCAATAAAAACTAAATTCTCTTTTCTTATTTAGCAAATAAGTTTGCGAAAAATATCCAGAGAACGCAAACAGTGTAGTAATGGGATGGTTAAATGCTTTAAATTTATATAATTAGGAAGAAATATACATAATATTATTTTTGGAGATTTCAAGCCAGCGGCAGGCAAATTTCCATTTTTTTTTTGGCAGTACTGTAAGTGCAAAATTTAAGGCGCTGTCCACACTGTCAAATTTTCTTCGACAAAAACTGCTGTATGCCCATATATAGTCATGATGTGCCTATATATGGTCATGATGTGATGTCATCATGACCATATTTAGGCATGTCACATGTTTTCATCAAATAAAATTTGATAGTCTGGACAGCCAGGCTTTACGAGCAACACACACAATTGATCACATGGCTGTTGAATGCAATTTGCTCATTATGACAGCACATCAAAAGGAAATGTTATGGTTAAAATGCAACAACCCTTAGTAGTGTGAGAAGTAAATGGCAATAAAAGGCAGTAAGATAGATCAAAGCCCATAACAAAAAAGATCAACTTAAAATCTGACCAGAAGAAGGTGGTCCCACTTGTCTATGTCCAGACATGTTTTTGTAATTTCCAGGAAGCACCGACCTTACAAACGGAAACCAATAAACTGTTTTGGGTTTTCAAAATTACTTCCTGCTTAATGGAATTCATATGTTAGCAAAATTTAGGGAATACCAGGAATGGATTCAGAAATGTCCGAAAGGGTGGGGGGGGCCCGAAAGTGGAGCAGATTGAGATATCACTACCCTAGGGGGTCCGGAGTAATTCCCCCGCGAAATTTTTGTTTTCTGAGGTGTCTTGGGCGATCAATTTTTTCTTTTTTTTTCTTTCTTTCTTTTTTTTTGTAACTTTCCAAAAGGGAGGTGTGCCGGGGGCGGCCCGGGCCTAAATCTGCCCCGAATACCGGTGTTTGAACTTTTAGTAGTTTAACTCCAGAATGCTTATCAGATACTGTACTATATAATTGGGTGCACAATGCATGCTTGCGAGTGTATCAATTGTTGCATATAATTTACTATATACATTATTGTACATTATTTGTAAGCTCCTCAAGGTTGTGAAAACATGTAGCGCTATAATAATCCAGAATTATTATTATTATTAATATTAATAATAATAATAATTATTATTATTATCATATTCCATGATTACACAAGGATTACATTTATTTAAACAAAAGCCTTATTATTTCTAAGACAATGTAAATAAATACTAGGTCAATATTATAATGTACTAGTCAAATGAGATATTGCACCCCTTTACACCGTTATTAAATTTCAATAAAGCAGAAGTTTGTTCCATGAGGTGATCCCCTGATCTCCCATTGTTTAACAGGCCTGTTGATCCACATAATATTGTACACTGTACTTTTTATCGCCTTCTTTGTGCTTAGACTCTAAATGGAACCATGTCATGTTCAATGATTCTACATCGAGCTTATTTAGACTCAGTTGGTTGCACTCACAATAAAGCTGTCTCGAAGACTATTGTTTGTCTCACCTAATCATTCTAACACAGCTTTAAAAAACTGAAATTGGAAACATTTTCAAGTGATTTATCAGTAGTTCTGGTGGGTTCCGTTCTGGTGTTCTAGTGAAAATTATGTAACAATGCCTTCAGCAGTAACACTAAAAAATTACATGTTTTACATTATGCTGCACTGCTCGGTTTGTTTACAACAAGCAGCAAATCCAGGGCAGGTGACTCAATCATTCATTGTATCTATTTAATTTTGTATTGAACGCTATTGAATGCTTTTTTTTTCAGATTTTATTACAGCCTAATTGAATTAATGTTGCATTACTGCTGTATCATAGAACAAACATAAAAACTGCACTTCCATATAAAACAGTATGCAAATTATATACAGAGTCTATATCGCAGCACAAAGGACAATAAATGAATACAAGCATTGTCAGAATATATAAAAAATGTTCACATACTGTGCAAATTTAACATACATTGTACTACCAACATAGTTGTTGTTAGCATTACTGTATTATTATTTCTTTCGAACAAAGCCACCATAGAGAAAACTTATTTTTCTTTTTCAATGCATTGTGCTAACTGTTATTTGTCTATGGAATATATATTGGAAACCAGATGAAACTATTTTATAGTCAACAAAGCCACCATGATTTTTTAAGTAGGCAAATATGATGGATGATGATAAGGATCTATAGATCTTAATTTATTGTTTATTCTATCCCTTATTATTGCAACAGGGGATGAAAATCATAAATGCTAGCGTGTACCAATTAGTTGCAATTTGACAAAGCAGCTCTAATGACAAAAGTGATGGGGAAGCTAGAGTTGAGTTCACTGTGAAGGTTGTATCATTTGCCTCGCAGTGAACGTGATTATGAGAGAGAAGTACAAACAAAAGGTGTTGGATAACTAGACAAAGGTCATTAGCATCCATAATTACATTGGCAAGAATTGAACTTGAATAAAACAATGTTACAACCTTGTACTTTTTTTGTAGTCTTACAATAAGTCTAAATTTCTATGATAATGACAATATATATATATCTGTCTTTTATACACATCTCAAATTTTCATGAACCTGACTGTCCCTAGAGAGACTTTGTACTCCAACACAACTCGTCAACCTCCTTACCTTTACATCCCAACTCCCCAACCCCTGCGGCCGGACCTCTAACCATTCTCTAACTGAATAAAAATACACTGTTGAAAAAATTATTGATTTAGTGAATCTCTTCCGTTCAAGATATCAAGAAGAGCATCATTTCCTCACTCACCAAGTACTGTACTCAGTATTATGCCAGTATGCCCGCCCCAGTAAAATATTAATGGTCAGTACTTACCCTTACTTATCACAATGTAAAGACAATAAAGGTTGCATAATTAACCTTTAATAATATCAGAATCACTAAACATCTTTTTCTGATTTAACATTGTTTTGTTATGAAATTCCGATCTAATTTTTACACATACACAACCCTTTCCGTCCTTGCTTCCGTAGTTTATCCGAGTTTAAGCAAATTCTATGTTGTATTTAAGCACAGAGTAAATGGAACACTTCCAAAAATTACAAGATGCACAATATGTTCCACTGCAATAATTCACCCAACCTTCTCAATTTCAATAATCATGTGATTATAAAATAATTAGGAATTAGAATGCTGTTTCTGCGTTTTATACATATAAAAAATAATTAAATTAATCAAGTAAGACATAACATTTCACCTATCAAAAATTGAATCAGTCTAACAACCTATGACCCCTTGTTGCTGCGATATTAGAAGCTTCCTTTGGAGGAGAGGAGAGATTGAAGAAATGTTTCGAAAATATTTATATAAAATGTATTTGATTGGGTGAACGTTCTTAATAATAATATGTAAGTTTGAACATGTATATCAGAACTATTGTTGCTTATTATAGAAGCTGTATATCGTTCCTTATGATTTACAATCTTTGTTAAAGTTTTAAATTATTCCCACCAGGCCAGGCCTAGGGCCTACGCTAGGCCTACCTACTGTCTGTTTTTTAGTCTGGCCGTGGCACTGCCCTCTCCATCATGCTACAAACTAGTAAACGCAGAGAGGTAGGCCTAGCCTTTGCAGAAAGGCTGTGCCGGCCTAGATAGTGCATGGATGATTCTTTAATCAAATAAAACTTTAACAGATTATGTATATTTAGAATTAAATTAATAATATGCATATTTTTAAACAATTTTTTTTAAAAGCACCTTGTTTGTTTAATTTGAGGTAAATTTTAGGCTAGGCCTAGCTAGGCCTAGCTTAGGGGTAGGACTAGGCTAGTGTAGTGTAGTTAACTTTGTTGGGCCTACCGTCCTAGCTAAGACCTAAGCTCTAAACTAGGCATACTTTTGTGTCAGAAGTACATCCTATTCTACTGGTTTTCCTTGGTGTCAACTTTCGTTGTGCATTTTTCCCTTTTTTCATTACAATTTTTGCTTTGTTTTCTGTAAGTAAGGGCCCTAGGCATAGGCTAGCCTGTAGAAGAATGAAGTCATTTGTTTTGACTTTTTTTTAAAATATTTTTTTAAATATTGTTATAATTATTATAATGTTTTATAATTTAATTCTAATATAATTTTTAATGTCGTTTTGATTGGATTTTGATTGGATATTTTTATTTTTCTGTTTTTAATATTACGTTTTATGGATTTAGTAATTTGATTTTTCCCCTCAAATTACTTCAGTGTGTTTTTGTTTCTTTGACTGTTTTAATTCGCAGACCAATGTAAATATTTTTAATGTGTCTATTTTCTTTTATCCTGCTATAATGTACATTTATTTATTTTATTTTATTATTAACATTTTAGGATATAGAAAAATACAACAAAAAGCCCTCCAAGGATTACAAAGCTTTATACAAGGCAAAATTAGTGATTAAATATTTTTTTTTTTTAATTTAATTTATATACTTTTTAAACAAACAATAAATACAAATAATCCCCCAGAATAATTCCAAATTACATTAGAGCAATCTAAGAATAATAACAACTCATTCATTTAATTAAATTACAAATAATAATTTTATGATATTTTAATTGTCTAATGTATTTTGTATAAAGCCAAATAAATTAATGTAAATGTATACCATAAGGGAGTAGCCACAATATTTATCATTTTTAAAAGAGTACAAAACATAATCTTTTCTGTGACCCACTCCCTCCACCTGAAAATATACACAATAAAAGGATTTTTGTCATTTTGAGGTCATCTTTTTCATAAAAGAATACATATACCTACACTATCAACACCCCCTCCCCTCAAAGCGTATGTTTTGTACTCTTTTGAAAATTATGGATGGGCCCTAAGATGAATTTGATGATTGTCTAATTTTATTTCAGTAATATGACAGATGATAATACCTCTGGTGTTGTCTCACCAGACACATCTTCCCATGTAACATCTTCATCTTTGGGCGTAGCAAAGTTGGAGGATTGGGAAGAGGAAGTGTTGAACATTATTATAAGTTCCAAAGCCCTTGGAACAACAACTATTGATCTAGCTGGTAAAGGAATTGCATATTTCCCAGAGGAACTCTTGGAACTTGACAAAATTGAGGTAGGCCTAGGCCTAAAAAATGATCACCTTTGAGGAAAAATATTAATTAATAAATATTATTTTAATTGAAGTCATCATAAATATATATTTTGTGGTAATTTTAGATTCTGCATGAATTCTTCTTCTAAACAGTGTGTATTTGATAGACTTTGGTTTAATATTAGCGAAGTTATTTATGAATATTTAAATCATTAGATAACAGCCATGTAGGTTTTGAGAAAAGAACCTCCAAAGATTCCAAAATAAATAACTTAATATTAAGATATTTTTTTTAAATAATAAAACTTTACTTTTGTGTTAGATTTAGTGATTGATATTTTGCATAAATTGTCTTCTATAACCTGAAAATTTTCAAAATTATAGTTCTTGAATGATTTGGTACTTGTGCAAAGTTAGAAATTGTGACAAACGCCGGGTTTTGCCAGAGCGGATCACGTAATTTGTAATAAAAACTGTTACTATTGCTGAAGGCGTAAACTTATTTGTTTCTTTTGTAGAACCTTTATCTTGAGGGAAACAAGCTAACAGAGCTTCCAAGCACCCTATTTGAACGTCTACCAAAGCTCCGTTGGTTGGATCTTAGAAACAACAACCTGAAAGAATTACCTCCATCTGTTGGGGAACATAGGTACTATGATTGAAGCAATTTATTTCTACTGCTTTTAATTACCCATGCTTTTTTCTTCAAACATTAGTTTTTATCCTCTTCACTCAAAATAGATGAAACTTCTCAGGGTTTAAAAGTGTATATTTGAATTTGTATGAATGCTTTATTGTTTTCTGCATTTGTCATGTTTTTTTTGTGTGCTATGGCTTTTAATTGCTAAAATGAAGATTTTATTCATTGTGCAGGTTATTATAATTATTCAGATTCTATTTTATTTCAAAATATCATTCTGGCATATGTTTATTGAGGCCTGTTTAACCTAAAGATATGTATAACCAAGATATTAAAACAGTAATAAAACAATAAAAACATAACATAGTAAATATTTTACTGTAGGTGTAGGTAGGTGCAAATAAATTTGTGTTAGTGTTTGTTTTTCATTGATTATTTGACTAATAATAATGGCTCCAGTTTCATTCTCATCCTGAACATTTCTGATTTGGGAGGTCGAAAGTATGAGAGCTTCTTGCGATATTTTGAGAAAATGTTCTAGAGAAGCTTGTCTTAAACCTGAACATTAAAAAACTTTGTTTATACTGTACTTTATGTTTTATATCAGGCAGCTGAAAACTCTACTGATTGAAGGGAATCAAATAAGTATGCTGCCTGTAGAATTAGGTAAGACTTACACTTTACTTACATTTGTCTCTCATCACCCAGATGTATATGAGTAGCAGCAGGATGGCAATTGGTCAGTGTTGAATGGATCTTTCAAACTTAACTGTCCAATCAAAAGGTGGGAGACCAGGAATATTTTGCCAACACAATAATTTTCCATAATGAAGTAGTATTTTGATTGAATTTCTTTGTTTTTAGGTTTTATACAGACATTAACTGGATTAAACTTACGGAAAAATCCTTTGGAATTTCCACCGCAAGAAGTAATAGATAAGGGAGTATATGAGATCCTTCGTTTTTTATGCGAGATCTCAATCTGCCAGCAACGAAACCAGAAAGGTTCTCTTGGAGGTAAGTAGGCCTATGCATATGCATAGGCCATATAATTCTTGATAGTTTTTCAGCCAGTAGTGTAGACTGTGTATTATTTTTATTATATTATTATGTTGGTATACACTATATGAATGTCACAAAGGAATAGAATTTTTTTTCCTACCATATTTATAGAGGGTGACCCTTCCAGCGTATCCTAGAAGGTTGGCTGATATTCAGGGGCCCTCCTAAATAAATGAAATAATGTGATGTGTTTATCAGCGAAGTCTCTTCATGAGGCTTAGGGAGTGGAGTTGTTTTCAGTCATGAGAAATAGTTCATGCTGTCACAGGAATTGAACACAAGACCCTGGGATTAGAAGGCAGGCATCTTACTTTTTGTCCCACAAAAGCATGTGTTTACGCTATTGGTTTTTGAGACCTTAGTAACCATATCCAAGGGGTAGGGCTCAGTGAAAAGTCCATTGGACACTTGGCACTATTGATTTTATTAGCGGTGCCTCCCCGAAAGGGCAAAGCTCCAGGGAGGCTATTGTTTTTACCCATGTACTTCTTGCTGTCGTCGCTGTTGTTGTTGTCGTCGTCGTTGTTGTCGTCGTTGTTGTTGTCATTGTTGTTGGGTAATTATTGCACCGCGGGGAGGCTATGCTTTTACTGTGTAGCATAAAAGTAGTATTAATTTTATTTACCATTTGTTTGTATTGTAGAATTGAACTTCGAAAATTTGAGGATCCAAAATGCTGGAGAGTCTTCTAGCGATAGTGAGAACCTTGTTGGTTACAGCAATCAAGAAAGATGGAGCCACAAAACACGGAAAAGCTTGAGCAGACAATCATTCCAGTCGAGTATGAGCAATCTATCTGATGTAGAAGGGCCTAGCTCGGCCACAATGTCTCTTCACAAGCCCATGTCGTATAATGAATATCGCCAAAAACAGTACCAAAAATTCAAACGGGCTGGAGCTCTGGGTATCTCAGGCAGAGATAAGTAAGATGAGCATCATTTCAGTTACTCTTTATTTTTATTATATATCAAAAGTACAGTATGATAGGAGTAAATAAAAAAGTGATATTCAAAGGAATATGCGTAAAGTAAATTTCTCTGCACATTGAATGGCAGACTCAGCAAACTAATCATCACACCCGGCAAAGCAACAATAACAGTGGTGAAGCTTTTTTTTTCATGCATAATTTGATGCAACCATTAATGGATGACTACTAGAAGCTTTATTGAGTTGTATCGATTGATGCCTCCCATTGCAGCTATTTATATATATTTATTATATTATATTTTATTATTTTATTTATTATGAGCCTTTTAAGTGCCACTTGATTCATTCATTTATTGTCGTTTAGTCATGTGATTCACATAAATATGGACATTATTTCTATATTTTGACTCTTGCCAGCAATCTACAGACAGCTATATATATTATATTAATCTCTTCTATCAGTAACCAAAGACAACCAACACATCTTGTATACTGGTTTTCATATAATTTGACAGAAATGTGCACAAATGCCAGTCATGAGATTTATGTTTATGATTGATTATCATTCCTTTAGACGGAGAAGGAGAAGAAAAAAGAGAACGCCACCGAAGCCAACAGTTGATTCAATGCAGGCAAAGGTGAATGAGGAGTTAAGAAACAATCAATTACGAACACTCAAACTGGAACAATCAGCTGCTGAGCAAAGGCTGAAGTAAGGGTCTATTCCTGTTGCTCTAAGTATATAAATTTTTCATTTATATAAAGTATAGCACTCTGGTCGTGCAAGGTATCACTAATTAGCTCAAATTTCGTTAGCACATATCTCACTAATTAAGCGACATAGAACAAACATTTGTCATTTGTAATCGTTTCTCATGGATTTTAACCACATCCTAAACTTTAAACAAAATCACAAAGATTGAGTCAAATTGTTGGTTGATTTTTGACATGGAATTAACCTATTCAAACTTAAGTCTGATATTTCTGGCCCTCTAGGTGTGCCATATTCTTAAATTTTCTCACCTTATAAATTTGACAGGAAATTTACCAATGACTATAAATACTACCAGTTTCTCAATCCCACCTTCGATCTTTACCTTTACCATTATTATGTTTTTAGGGACACGCAGCTTCTTCAAGAATGGCGTGATGAGACACGTGAGTTGCAGCGCAAACATTACATCAGAGCAATCAGGAAGGATAAACAAGATGGTAAATCATTTAATTCATAAGCTTATTGGGATTTAAATAATCCATTATCAATGGTGATCATGTTATTTCCAGCTAATCTATGTTTTAATTTTGTTTAGGACTGACCTGGAAATATCATTCAGGTAAACTTTAATGTTGTGTGATCCAATATTGTTATTGTGGTTTCTACATGGTTTTAAGTTGAGATGTTTTCCTATATTTCATTCAGCACCATTAGCATAATATGTTTTAGTGCTTTTGTCTTTGGATTTTTTTGTTGTTTTTGGATTTGCTCCATCTCTGTCGAACATCACGTTAATCTTTTTACAATTTACACTTCTTCTAGGTTCAACACTCTCTTGCTTGCAATAGTTCATGTTCTAGAAATGAACTTTTGCTCTAGTCAATGTACTTTCAATACAATTTGTTTCTAATTATTGCTGATAATAAATCCAATACTTATCACATTTGGTAAGTGACTAGGTGAAAGAATTTGGAACAGCAATACAATAACAACAGAATGAAACCGTAAAACCAGCTTATTTTTTGTTCAGTTTTATTGAGTTCATTCAGATGTGGTAATAACAAAAACAAGACCAACATATTATAGAAGCACCCGATTAAACAGAAAATGTAAAAGTAATAAAAATAATTAATTGAACTGACAAGTAACCAGAATAAAGTTATAAAAAACCAATTGCCAATTAAAAAAAATACTAAAAGTTGTACTTTTTTAGTCCTGTAAGCTTGTTTTCCATAGAATCGCTACATTCTCGCTACAGTGTTTCCAGTGCCATCGTTTTATTGCGTAGCTGTCCCCGACGCAATCTGGAAGGCTCCTCGATCCCACCAACCAATCCGCATCACTGAAAGCTAACGGCGGTAGCATGTAGTGATTGTATGGAAACCATAATTTATAAACCCCCCAAAGAAATTATTACTATTGTAAAATTTATATTCCTGTAGATTTTTGGGGAAAAATGCAACTAATACCATGCATTAATGAAAAATTAGTGCATGGTTTGGAATACAAATTTTTATATTTGAAGTGAAATAATCATGTCACAATTGAATTATAATCCTTTCCAGTAGATTTTGGGGAAAAGATAACTAATACCATGCATTAATGAAAAATTAGTGCATGGTTTGGATTAGTGCGAGCAGCGTCACATTGTATATGCATACATTTTAGTAATATGGATATGCATGGAATGTACATTTTAGTAATATGGATATGCATGGAATGGCCATTTAATGCATTGTTGTTGGAACACTAGTATTCGTAAAGACTGCTATGACTACATCAGAAAATGTATGATATTTGTATATGTGACATATATATGTATGAAATATGACATCATCTTGTCCATATATGTATTAAATAGGACATCATCATGTCCATATATGGATGTGATGACATCATGTCCATATGTGGATGTGATGACATCACCATGTCAATATATGGATGCGATGACATCATCATGTTCATATATGGATGTGATGACATCACCATGTCCATATGTGGATGTGATGACATCACCATGTCCATATATGGAGGTGATGACATCATCATGTCATATATGGATGTGATGACATCATCATGTCCATATATGGATGTGATGACATCACCATGTCAATATATGGATGCAATGACATCATGTCCATATATGGATGTGATGACATCATCATGTCCATATATGGATGTGATGACATCACCATGTCAATATATGGATGCAATGACATCATCATGTCCATATATGCATGTGATGACATCATCATGTCTATATATGGATGTGATGACATGCCCATATAAACTATGGGCAATTCACATCAATTTGTCGCATAAAACTTAAATCGCTGTCCAGACTATCAAATTTATTTGACAAAAACATGTCTAAATATGGTCATGGTGGCATCACAATAATGACCATATACATACACATCTTGACTATGTATGGGCATGCAACAGTTTTTTGATAGCTAAATATTGTGGATAGAGTTTTAAATCTGACAAATAAAATCTGATAATACATGTCTGGCTTATGACTGTCTTATCACCATTGTCATCATATGTTTACATTGGGATGTTTGGATATTCAGACAATTATTACTAATATCTTGCACAGCATTGCCTATAATCCAAGGATGTTGTATTATGGATGTAAGAGACAGATCTTAATCAATAACTTAAAGTTTGTGTGTTGTGCATTGTGATGTTCATTGATTTACACTTCATCGTTTTAATTTCTATTCACTTGTTGGCATTTAATTGAATATTGTGAATGACTCAAAGTGAAGGTGTGTATACAGGAACAGCTGAATTGTCAGTTTGTGTTTATTTCGGTTGACAGATTTTACCGATCCAGCCTTGAAGACTCCGTACGACACGGACCCAAACTACATGAAAATTATGAGCAAAGAAGAGAGAATTAAAGTAAGTGAAGGATTTTTCAACTGTGATTAATATATTTTTTTAAACTCTCTTGTCTGCTACAGAAGCTGGAATAATATTTATATATGTGAGGTGTCGCGATATACCAGTCTTGTTGTGCGCCAGGTCAGTTTGATATATTCAAGACAATATCTTAAGTGATATTTTAACAAAAATTGGGTTTCAATGTTCCTCATAAGTTAAATATAAGTCAGGAAAGCAAAGGTTCTGACGTGAGTTAAAGGTATTTTTGAGGCACATTTTCTGAAACACTTTTTCATACTTGATAGGAAATCCAAAACAAAATTATATATCAGTTTATCTTTAGACACAATTTTCTCTAAAGTATGTTTTCAGAAATTTGAATTTAAAAATAATCTTATTCTGGTTATACTCAACCTAGGAACCTGATTCAAGGACAAAATAAGGCTTATATAGTCAAAATCTAAATATATCAACAACTAATTTTTTATATTTTGTACAACAAGACACATTTTGTTACAATAGCTGACATATTTGATGATTTGATGACAGGTTTTAATTTCAACTGTGTTTAGTTCCAAAATGTCATTTCCAAAAACCAACAGATGCATGTTGATTACTTTTAAATAACATAGAACGAACATTACTCCAAACAATTATTTGAGTAATGTTCATTTTATCATTTCCAAAGTTTTTATATTTTTGCAACCAAAAACATGCACTAATGATTATTTTAATATACTATTCTCGTTTATTTATTATGAATTATTAGTTAACTGTACAAATTGTGTCATATGAAAAATTTGAAATAAATATTTCTTAACCTTGAACTTAAAGGAGAATTAAAATAAAGTTTAAGAAATTGTAAAGACTTGCTGGCACCGAAAACATCATGAAAAAAAACCTTGAAAATTATCTTTAACTTTATGTTATAATTTTATTCCCTTTTTCTGTCAACATTTTTTTTTTCATATATCCTTTCATTTCGGCATTTATTGATGCACATAGAGATCAAGTATTATGCGATATAGAAATCCACATCAATTTTAATTTGTGGAAAGATTCATGTCGGGAGATGAAAGGAAAACATATGACTGTGCTGATTGCTTCTGAAAACATCTTGAAAAGTTAGAAGTGAATATAAATTACTCTTTTAAAATATGGAAAGCCAAATCAATCAATGAGTAATATCTTTTGAATAAGCATTTGTTCAATATCAGAGAAGAGGAAAAAAATACAGTTATCATTATTAATTGGAAGAGATTTTTACAACAATAGGCTCTTAGCTTGCAGCCCTGAGGTGGAACCAAAAACAAATTTAATTGTATGTGATTCATTTTTATAAGGTGGAAGTGAAGAATAGACATGAAGCCATGATGAATAGGATGAGACCCGAAACAAAGAAACGCATGGAGGCAGCTAGGTAAGATGAGGAAGATGATGAGGAAGATGATAAAGATGACTAGATGAAGATGATGATATCATCATTACCATCATCATTGTTGTCAAAAACCTTGTCGTCATTGACAATACCATCGTCATCGTCATTTTATTTTATTTTTATTCCATTTCAAAAAGACATTGCATATACATATAATTACATTACAAAAATTATACTGATACAATACTTAATCTATCACTGCTACTAACATCATCAGCATCATCTACAACACCATCGGCAGTGTATTGATGATGTTATAAATAATGATAAAGAATTGACATCAATGAAGATGATGTCGATGAGGATGATAGAATGAGAATGATTTTTATTGATTAAACACAAGTAAAAGATAAACGTGGTTCAAAGCTTGGTTGATTATAATATTTTCTTCCTCCATGATTACACTGTACATAGATAACATTTACATTACATTGTCTAAAATCTGTTACTAAAGTAATAAACATCAAGATGTACATACTGCACTGATAACAACCATTGGTAAAATGTAGTTAAAAGCATGTTAAAATATTAAAACATTAAGAGTAGTTAAAATAAATAAAAACTGTTAAAATATTAAAAGCAATGTGTACCTAAAGCCATTTTAAAATATTAATAAAATTTACCTTGAATATTTTGCACATGGATATTTTTGCACATGATCATTTTTAGTCAAAATTATCATAGAATTTTAAAAGTGTCAATCTATATGCATTAATCAAAAAGGTTGGACCGTGATCGACACCTCCTGGAAAAGATCAAAGAACACACCAAAAAGATCCATGAAAGAAAACAGCTTCCAAAGGGAAAACCCCACGAGGTAATGGAAGCAGCTAAGAAAGACTTAGAAATGGTAAGAGATTTTAAGTTATAATTGTAGTGTTATCATTCCAGATGTATACCACCCCTGGTGAATATACATTAACCATTTTCATTCCAGGTGGATACCATTCCAAATTTATACATTCTAGGTGTATATAATTCCAGGTGTATACCATTCAAAATTGATTCATTCCAGGTGTATATAGTTCTAGGTGTATACCATTCCAAATGTATGTATTCCAGGTGTATACATGCCAGGTTTATACCATTCTACACTTATACATTACAGGTATTTACCT